AAAATATAGCTGAGGCATTGATAAAAAAAAACCATCATGTTACTGGTCCACAATGTCAGTCAAAATTTGGTAGCTTAAAAAGAACTTATAAATCTATGAAAGACCACAATGGTAAGTCAGGGAATGGAACTCGAACATGGGCCTATTTCGATTTATTGGATGGTTTGATTKGTTCYAAGCCTTGTATATCACCAATTGCCACTGCATCATCCTCTGGTAAAAGAGTTAATTCTGAACCAGAATACTCTTCTGTTCTTACTGTYAACTCCAATAATTATGACCAACCAAGGAAAAAATTAAACCAAATGCCTTCTGTGGATAAGGTTATATTTGCTATTGAAGAAAACAGAAAAATATCAGAGGAAAGTARAGAAAAGAGACATGTAGAAAAAATAGAACAAAAAAAAGAGGCTCTTGGTCTTCTAGCAAGAATAGTTGCTGTTTTGGAAAAAAAAACATGATGTATTTCCTATTCATTATCTATTTTGATTACTTTTTTACCTTTTATAATTTGAATTGTTATTGTTTTGAGATTAAAGACTAATAATTATGTATTATTCATTGTTAACAAAAAGACTTGTTAAATATATGTTATTTTTTTTTTTTGATGTTGATTAATAAAACTAATTAAAAACATTAAGACAGACTGTTATGTTTTAAATTGAATTGTTATTGTTTTTGAGATTAAAGACCAATTATGTATTATTCATTGTTAACAAAAAGACTTGTTAAATATATGTTATTTTATTTTAATGTCGATTAATAAAACTAAGTAAAGACAACAAAGTAAGACTGACTGTTTTGTTTTAATTTATTCTTTTTATATTATACTAGCTGACCCACTCTCTACCTTACTGCACTGWTATTCTTCTTCTCCAATAAAATTAATTTGTAAAAATTTGGCTTGTTCATTTGGTTTTGGCGTCAAAGATCCTATCCTATGATACARTTKTCCTCTTATTTTAAAAGTTGGCATATAATTATTATTCACAATCTCTGTACTCTGTGGCACCAAATAATGTCATTTGAATTAGATATTATATATTTTATTAAATGTAGACTTTTTATTGNGTTAGGGATAACGAATATGGAATAATGATAGTAACATTGAACATTTGTATTTGCAAGCACCGAAGTCATTATTAACATAATTATTAATTACATATTTATATAACATAATTTTAAGATGAAAGTGACAATAATTATAGATGGTGATGATGAGTCACAGTACACTGTGGATGTAACGCCCGAAGAAGCGAAGCGCTTAGAGACAGGTACCTATGTAGTTAAAGTTAACATGTGTTTAAAGCTGGATTATACTCGGAAGATTCTGTTTTTAGTCTCTGATTGTCAGCAAATAACTTGTTGTACGGATGTTTGTAATAAGTTAAGGTTAATGGGTCTGATGCCTAACCYAGAAGTTCCCTATCTTTTTTGACCTACAGCACCTGCTTAAAGTATTTTCTAAAAACCTGGATGCTCMCTATACTAGAAGACATTTATATAGATTATAACTGTGATTGTTATTGAGGGTTATGGTAGGGCAGTTACTTATTGTAAGTGTGAATGTACAGTGAGTGGATTTTGATTTATTTATKTATTTAGTCGCTTGTGATTGTAYCTCCGATGATTTGCGGAATAAAAATCCCTAGGAAAAAAAATCTCCTGACTACAATATTATTCACAACCACATGAAAATGGTTGAACAAATATTTTTTAAACGTTAATTAGTATCTATAATTATCACATTATTAATATTAAATTACAAATACGTATAATTTAGCTCTTTAAGATGTTTATATGCTATGTTTTTACGAGTAGGTGCCTACATTCAATAATTATTGTTTAAAAATTATTATTATTATTACCTATATTTTGTAGTATTTGTGTATTTTAAATATTTTTGTATGCCATGTTTTTAACTGAATTATTTGACGTACCTATCGATCATTCAAAATATTTTATATGCTAAACTATTTGTTACGGTGAAACGTGATAGGTATATACCACATACATTCATTATAATTTATAACTAATGTTTGATAATTATTTTTATTTTTATTTTACTACATTATTATAATTTGCAAATTGTTGTAGTTTAAATTTTACAGAATAATACATAATAAAGGTATTATCGTAATATAAAACAAAGTA